ATGGAGCCGTACGGAGCAACTTCCATCTCATAAATTCCATATTTGAAAATTGTGAATGGATAAAGCGGCCAAACATCTGAAGGAAAAGACACACACACACACACACACACACACACACACACACACACACACACACACACACACACACACACACACACACACACACACACACACACACACACACACACACACACACACACGAAGCACTTTCGCTCCTTCACGTAGTTCATCGGCGTACGTACGATTGTTGCAGTGTGATATCGTAAGACATCATAGTCATTGCAGCGTGAGGCATGGGTGGCAAATAACACAGATAGTGGGCGCGTTGCAAGCCATGAATCGCTCAGAGAAAGCAAATTCATCGCCCATCCTGGGGTCTGCAACAGTTCGAAGCGCTTGCCCACTCTTCCAAAATGGCGGCGCAACTACCGCTTGGTCGCCTTGCCCTAATGAAGAACGTAATAGAAGAGGCTCGATGACGAGCTGATGGAATTTATGACTACTTTGAAGATGTAGAGCAGACTGAGGATGATGGGGTGTTAGCTGCCTTTGCTCATTTCCTCGTTGATCCAGTCAAGAATTTCTTGTTCCGCTGTCAAAGTGAGCCGCCCATTTTGGTTTGAGAACGAAGCGACCTCAGCCAGCGATTGTTTCGCTTGCAAGCGGCTGAACGTTAGCGCACTGTTGTAAGGCGAATCGCTGTACATCGCTTACAAGCGATTGGCGCTTTGCAACGCACCCAGTGTGTACATGGATCAATAACACGCTTCTAGTTTGATACGTCCATTTGATCCATCATACACTTAATTGTTTAGTATTGGTTGAAGTGTATATATTTTGTTATAAACAGTGTCTCTTACAAATTCCACATGAATATATTTGATCTGCGGTTGTGTTTTTATTTTCATGTTTTAAGTGGTTTCTCTATCGAACATAGAGGAAACTAAAACATACCAACATACCAAAAAGACGTTAAAATATGGTACTTGTTGTTACCCTGTCTGGCGCTCGGCATTCAGGGGCTAAAACAAGGACTGGTCGGCTCGGAGTCAGTATACTGTGTCTGAGTGGGGTATTCCTGTTAAACTGCGGCATGGTATCTCAGTGAGCTAGCACTATAAATCGGCATCAGTCCGGACTAGTACAAGCAGCCACACACGCACACACGCTGACACACACGCTGACACACACGCTGACACACACACACGCTGACACACACACACACACACACACACACACACACACACACACACACACACACACACACACACACACACACACACACACACACACACACACACACACACGCGCGCGCGCGTGCATGCACGTCGCTATGTAAGTGCAATAATCTTGGATGCGACGTAAAACCCCATTTCACCTCACCTCAACAATTCCATCTACATCGTTGATACTTCCATCTACGCAAATGATACTTCCATCTACGCATCTGATACTTCAATCTACGTGACTGAAACTTCATTCTACGTAACTGATACTTCAATCTACGTGACTGAAACTTCATTCTAAGTAACTGATACTTCAATCTACCTAACTGATACTTCAATGTACGTAACTGATACTTCAATCTACGAAGATGATAATACTCACATTTGAGTTTACGATATGATTTTGTAATCGTGAGTATCGTTATCGTTACAGTGATCTTGTTTTGTGAAGTTGGATATAGTTTAAACAAACATTCAGGTGTAAAGTAAGGGTGATTATTTAATCTATGTTAATGTATCTAAATGTTTAGGAGCATGTCGTACTTTTTCATTTTCCGTATCTTATACTACAATAAACTGAAAATAAGATCATTTTAAATTATCAAACTATCTGCACTAAAATAAAAACACCAACACATTCATTGAACAAAACTGCAGGATTGTACCTTCAGTGCTTCATATGTTGCTGTTTGTTTGTTTGTTGTTTAACGCCGCACTCAGCAATATTCCAGCTATATGACGGCGGTCTGTAAATAATCGTGTCTGGACCAGGCAATCCAGTGATTGACATCATGAGCATCGATCGACGCAATTGGGATACGTTGACATTCATCAACCAAGTCAGCGAGTCTGACCACCCGATCCCTTTAGTTGCCTCTTACGACAAGCATAGTCGCCTCTTACGACAAGCATTGTCGCCTTTTACGGCAAGAATGGGTTGCTGAAGACCTATTCTACCCCGGATCTTCACGGGTCACATATATAACACGTCGCTTGTCAAGCTAATGCGCGTTGCTTCCAATACAATGACATTTTCGATGGAGTTGTGCGAGTGGGGGATGCAAACGGTAGAACAGGACATGCTTACCCTTTTCGCGAACACCTGGTGTCATCACTGATTTCAGCGATCCATTCATTTAATTTTCAACACTATTTTGCCTGTTACGTTCTGTTGAATCTGTTTCGGTAGACAATCAAGAATGATTAAACTCAGGCGTTGACGTTTTGAAACAAGAAGCAACATGATTCGGCCCGTGAAGATCTGGGATAGAATAGGTCTTCAGCAACCCATGCTTGCCGTAAAAGGCGACTGCTTGTCGTGAGAGGCGACTAACGAGATCGGGTGGTCAGGCTTGCTGACTTAGTTGATGCATGTCATCGTATCCAAATTGTGTGGATCGATGCTCATGATGTCAATCACTGGCTTGTCTTGTCCAGACTCGATTATTTACATATAGCCGGGATATTGCTGAGTGTAGCGTTAAACAACAAACAAACAAACAGCAACGTGATTCAACTGGCTGTAAGCTGATCTGTCAAGAAAATGACACTGCAACTTAACAAAACCTGCCCACGCATACTATCTGCAAATCGGTTTCAAGCATTAGACTTTTGAATATTTCCAACGAGTTACATTACGGAGCAATATTAACATTAACGCTTAACTAGAATAAAAGCAACAAAGCCGTTTCCATAATCATAATATATATGGGGGCACGGGCGCCGCGTTTCCCTTTGCAGAGTTGCGTCCCTTGGGCACGCCAGAAACCTGTGATAGTGGGTTCGGATCTCGGTTCGCCCCGATTATGTTTCTAGGTTTGTCAGCACCATACCCGTGCTTATGGGTTTCACCGAAGTGGTAAACGTCTGAGACCTACATCACTTCGGGCTTTCCTCCCACATTAAGCTGACACGCCGTGATATAACAGGAATACTGTTAAAAGTGCCGTTAAACCCAGGTCACTCACTCATATATACAAAACATCAACTCCAGATGACAACCACACTCGACCATCCGCCGAAACCAGTTTGAGAGTTTGAAGGCGCTACATCTTCCTTGGTTTATTTGTAGTTTTACCCCGCGATATTCCAAAATCCGCAATATTTCAGCTACATTATGTCGCCCTGCTCTGTAAAAAAATATTCGAGTGAGTAGACCAGACAAAGCACACATTCACCCTAAAAACAGTCTAACTACCAAATCTTACGACCAGCATAGGTTGCTGGAGTCCAATTCCAACCCGGAATCCGGGGGATGTGATTGAAGGAGAATTTGTTTGTCAAATTGTCACATGACAGCAACTTTCTGTCGTTACGTCACACAACGTAATTACCTCAGACAAACCGTGAAAATACGATTTACCGTTGTAAAATGGCGTTAATCGACGTACGTATATACAATTATTACTATTTGGGAAAACTTTGTTCCTGTGGCAAGATAAGTCCAAAGTCGCATTGTTGGGCAACTGATAATGCATGGGGGTCGAGGGGGGGTTAGGGGATGGATGCAAGCGGTCAGACGTATCTCCCTAGCACGGTACAACTTGAACATATTTAACGAGGCACAAAAACTTAAATTTTAAATTGAAAGCTTTAATATGTTCAAATATCGTCTGTGGTAATAAAAAACATAATACAGTCTGTTCAATTTGATATAAGGGTTATGTCCCGAGTGAAATAATTTTCAGTGTGAACGAGAAAAATAAACGTGTTGATAAAATTGAAAGAAGTTCAATAATATAATGTCCTACAAAAACGAACAAGGATCATGCCATTTTTATAACAATTCATTTATTTACACATTAGCACAAGTAAAAATAAATGCATAGATTCCACCTCTATTATCAGAAAATCACAGAGAAGACATGTATCACAATACTGTTTGATCGTCACGTCCTAAATAAAGACATTGCAATAGCGTTTATTAACATGAAAAACGTTTCATTTATGAACATTTCGGTTTTTCTGAAAATACACTTAAGTGATAACTAGAAATGGTTGCTCATCGGAAGAAAAATAACCATCTCGCATTTCGAAGCATTCATTTTCGCTGTGTAATTCTCCATTGAAATGAGATGGATAAACTCCATCACTAAGGGATATGTGTAGCTGAAATAAACACACTTAATTTGCTTCAGTATATCATGTCCGGGACGCAACGAAACACATAAATAAAAACAGCAGAGAGAAATAAGGTAAGACGATAATATTGATACACATGCAACTGAACGATGCAAAGAGTGAATGAGTGAGTATGGTTTTACGCCACTTTTAGCAATATTCCAGCAATATCACGGCGGGGGGACATCAGAAATGGTTGCCAGGTACGGACCTTTTTTCAAGCTCCACATATCAATGTAAGGACTTCTATTACTAACTATTGATTAAACTATCATATACGGTATAATATATAGTGAACAAATTCCAGCTGAATTGTCCGAAAACAGTTTTTGAAGGCAGCTGTAGATTGAGAATATGTCAAAAGTCAATGTGACTCATTAAAATCAGATCTTAGTTCTCGCTACCGGTAAACAAAGATCTGATCATTGCGGTCATGGCAGAACGACCTTTCATCTGACCAATCAGAGCATCGCTTATCAGATCAAGAAAGTGACAGTTGGAATGTGATTTTTGATCGTGCAACCTCGAAATAAACACACACAGGGTATTCCGAACGACAGTCATGGGCTTAATGTGTGTATTCATACAATCTTGACCATCTATTAGCCATTCCAGAATGTTCTTTTGTTCAGTTTATATTTTTTCAATCGAGTATATGTCAGAGTAATGTTTAGACGCGTAGTCGCCAGTTTGAAACTCGTGCCGTAAAGCTCGATTAAGCTGCCTTCTGATTGGATATTGTCCACTTCATGTGAGTCATTCCATTAGACGGTCAAAGTTCGCGAAAGGTCGGTCTGACGGGACCCGTAATGGGATGTCCTCAGATCTTTGTTTTGCGGTAGCGAGAACTAAGATCTGATTTTAATGAGACTGGACTATATCAGGAGCATGTGTTTATGAACCTGGTGATGACACCAGGTGTTCGCGAAAAGGTGAACGTATCCTATCCCATTGGTGGTACCCGTCCCAAACACAAGCACATGTTTAACCAGTGTCAGCATTCCAAATTAAGTAAAGCATAAAAGATGGACGACATATCAAACAATACGTGTTCTCGCTACTTTAAAAAATAACTTACTTGCAACAAAGGTAATGAGTAAACCATAATGTAAGGATTTCTCTTGAATAATATTGTTGAGTGAGTGAGTATGGTTTTACTCCGCCTTTAGCAATAGTCCAGCAATATCAAGGCGGGGGACACCAGAAATGGGCTTCACAAATTGTATCCATGTCGGGAATCGAACCCGAGTCTTCGGCGTGACGAGCGAACGCTTTAACCACTAGGCTACCCGACCGCCCCTAATATTGTTGAACGATCATAGTTAGAATTAATTCTCAGGTTTAAATTATCCCTTCGATATGACTCCTAAGAATACATGTATTTCTATTAGATTTGTTTTAAAATTGAGGTGCGATGGGATAGCCTTGTGGTTAAGGTGTTCGCCTGGGTTCGATTGTGTGAAGCCCTTTCTGGTGTCATCAGCGAGAAATATTGCTGGGTGATTGCTAAAAAGTGCAAAACCCAACTCACTTACTCGCTCACTGACATTGTTGAGCAAAAACTAATCTCGCATTCATTGGTTCAGTAGCTTCTGAGATGAAGCGTCAAGAATAGTGACGTCACGGTTGATGGCGAAAACTCGATATTTTCACGTTCAAACTTTCATAATATGTAAACATGAATATTTCTTTGTCAATACATCCACAGGAACAGAATCCTTTTCTCAAAATATCCTCATATCAAAATATCATATTCATGGTAAATAACACCAACCTACAGCCATTTACATCATAACGAACACACCCAGACTGTAGAAAATGAAGGGTACCAAATAACTGCATCCAAACATCCCGCCCAATAATGTATTAAGCGAGGTATGCATTAAGAAATGCCTCAACGATGACGCTCCACATATCAGCTCAATTTCCCCGTAAACATTCGTAACATTACGACATTCAATTTCCTTTTCCGGCACGGGCTGGGGGCCGTTACAGATATCGCCAGTGCATAACGTAACGCAGACTTGGAAATTCGGTATGACGTCGTAAGTGCATGTGGTCTCGTTGTTTGGCGGAAGGTTCTCCAGTCGAGGGTACTTTGATTTTGCGAAGGAGAAGGTCTCTCCATCACTGCAGTCACGGATGTAGCTTTTAACTACACCTACAAGGGTAGAAGAAATATTTCTTTGTCTTAACCATTTCTATTCCAAAAGAAACATTACGTTTACTGTTAACTCACTCACTCACTCACTCACTCACTCACTCTCAGTGAAAGGTTTACTGTACACATGCCAATAAAGATTTGTTGAAAACAAGAGCATATTCACCGTGAACTAGACCGCCTCCGTGGTCTAGTGGTAGAGCGTCAGCCCGGAGAGCGGAAGGTCCGGGGTTCGATCCCCGACCGCGTCATATCAAAAAGACGTTAAAAGATGGTACTTGTTGTTACCCTGTCTGGCGCTCGGCATTAAGGGGCTAAAACAGGGACTGGTCGGCTCGGAGTCAGTATACTGTGTCTGAGTGGGGTATTCCTGTTAAACTGCGGCATGGTATCTCTGTGAGCTAGCACTATAAATCGGCATCAGTCCGGACTAGTACAAGCAGCCACACAAACACACACACGTACATGCACGTCGCTATATAAGTGCAATAATCTTAGGACGCGACGTTAAACCCCATTTCACCTCACCTCACCGTGATTTTCATCAAAGACTTATATGATATTATATTAATAATCAGACGAGTGCATTTTATTGTATTATAATGACATTTAAATATGGATTGACCAATCAAACAAATTATTTTGTCTTTTATTTTAACAGCTTCTTTCATTCGTTGATCCTGTTTGTATCCTGAAGGTTTCGCGTCTCGTCGTTATTCGGTAGAAATATTGCCAGCACGACGTTATATATTAACTGCTGTATTAAGCTGACACGTTCTGATATAACGGAAAGTCTACGGCGTTAAGCCAAACTCAAGATGACATAATATATATATATATAATGACACACTTTGAAAACGCATATTCGAATTGTTGTAATATTCAAATTAAGCTGTTCTGTGCAAAGAGGCATGATTTTTTGTTTGTTTGATAGTTGTTTAACACCGCACTCAGCAATATTCCAGCTATATGATTGCGGTCTGTAAAATAATCAAGTCTGGACCAGACAATCCAGTGATTTACATCATGAGCATCGATCCATGCAATTTGGATCGATGACATGCATCAACCAAGTCACCGAGCCTGACCACCCAATCCCGTTAGTCGCCTTTTACGACAAGCATAGTCGCCTTTTACGGCAAGCATGGGTCGCTGAAGACCTAATCTACCCCGGAATCTTCACGGGTTCATTTAGGCATGAGATAAATAAACACAACAATGTCGAATCTCAATCAGTGTGTTTCGAGATTGACTTAAGCACAAAAACACATCTTGTCATTTCAAGTTTCAGTTTATTATGCGGTTTCATTGCGTGTCAGTATAGCCGGAGCCTCAATGACTGCGACGTATAACAACATCCAATCAGTTGCCATGGTTACCATACATAAGATAAAAAAACTACCCTCACCTTGCGACATGTGCCTTTCGATCATGCACATCGTCTGGTTCACAGCGTCACAGTTTTTATAATATTTATTTTTTTTAACGTAATCCGAATCATCAGGTTCTTCTTCTCCCTCTTTCTTCTCCGTCTTGGTGATGTTGAGGAGGGCGGAGGCATCCATGCAGTCCACATCCGCTCCCCCTGTATCACCGCACTGGTAGCATGCTAAGGAAGCTTGAACAGAAAAAAAGTCGAGTGAGTGAGTGAGTGAGTTTGTTTTTTTCGCCGCTTTTAGTAACATTCCAGCAATATCACGGCGAGGGACACCAGAAATGGGCTTCACACATAATACCCATGTGGGGAATCGAAACCGGCGTGAAAAGCCAACGCTTTAACCACTAGGCTACCCAACCGCCCGAAACAAGTGGAAACTACAGTGTAGTGTATGTTTGTTTTTCGAAAGTTCTTTTTTAAAAGAGGATATGATGGACGAAGTTGTGAGGATTTTACGGATGTTCATATTATGTTATGGAATATCACCTATGTGCAATTTGATTGATAAAATATTCAATGTCATCGCCAGAGAATAATCAGCCTCGATTATCCATAATATCCATTATTGGGTGTAATAGCGGTGAAAGTTACATGAGTGGATCACTGAATATCAGTGATGACTCCAGGTGTTCGCAGAAAGTATATGACGAGTGGCTTTATCGCTATATTGGCACTACAAATCAGTCGGGTCTTCACCATGACACCCGTATCCTCCTCTCTCTGACACAGGGTTCATGCTGTCAGCTCAACACGCTTGAGTTTACGAGAAAGTGAAGTACAACGATAAGAAAATAAGAGGGTTGAACAACAATGACAAATCCCGCCATTAGGTGTTGCCCAACGACACAACTATTTTAAACCTATTTATTTCAATAAACTTTTGGCATGTATATGTTGGGGTTGACTGATTACGCAGTGAGTACTCTCTGACACGTCAAATTGGGACTGAAATTATTATGGAGAATATTTATCCTATGAGTTTCGGTTGAATAAATGTATTTGGAGCTTTTCAATCCAGGGATGATTGAGTCCATGCATAGGTCCAAACGTATGTACGTATCGACCTAATGACCCACCACTCTTGCTATCACTCAGGACCACCCACTTGCATGTCATTGAAAGTGTATACAGAGCTCCAGATAAGCTTTTGGTGGCGTGGGTATTTTACCCATGCATTTTAAAAGCATTGGGTATCAGTAATTCTATCTGGGTATTCAAATTTCTGTTACCCACTAGTTTTTACATATGTGGGTATTTAAGTTAAATATTTTAAAAAACACTATTCATCTAGTCCCTGCAAACTGGTGTCGTGTGGGTTCGAGAACTTTATAGGACTAAAAAATATCACGATACTTCAAGAAGAAAGTGTGATGGCAAATGATCATGATGTAACTGTCATCGTGGAGTTTAGCAAGGTTTATAATTTCAAAATAAGTTGCTGATTTGCTAATCGAATACGCAGGGTTACTTTACAATACTTTGATGATACGCACAAGTTTTATTTTTGTAGCGTATCTGTAATGTTCGTTGCGTATTTGATTCGCTTGGATTTTATTTTACTGCGTATTTTACGCAGATACGCAGCTTATCTGGGGCACTGGTATAATATATTTGATTGTCTCTCTACCTCTATAGGTATACCTCTAACCTGTCTAACCACCCACTTGTCAATATATTGCTCATATATGCTCATGTACATGCACTTGTGCACCCATATATCAGTGTTCGAAATACCTGCCTGCCCGACCGTCCGAGACGGGTTGATTTCAACTTGGGCTGCCAGATTTTCAAATCCCCCTGCCCGACGGTCGGGTTATATTTCATATGTTAAAATATTCTAAATATTTCCCGATGATAAGCATTATTTATTTACATGATGTATTCTAGGATATTAAATACAAATCTAACCTAAAAAGTGTTTGCTATTTCTTTTCTTGCATTACTTCATGTTCAATGAATTCGATTTAAAGTTTTAATTAAATTATCCTGAGAAACATGTGATTATAGTGGGCAGGCAGGTTTTGGTCAGGGCTGGCAAGTATTTCAGCTAGCCAGTCCTGTGGTCTGGCTGAAATCTTTGGGAGTTTCATACCCTGCATATATCCGCTGGTTTATACAAGGTATATCAATAATCCGAACGTCAGTTTGAAGCACTAAATGTGTGCATTGTCTTCTTTCAACATAATGCATAAGCCACATTCACTGTCAACTACAACCAACACTTGTTAGCATGTACGGTTGTGATTGTATGGATGTATACTTTTAAAAAGCAGGGGGTCATGGAATGTTGATACCAAGTATTGTTGACGACAAACATCCAAAGCAAGAACGTTTATGTCAGTAAAGGTTAACACCAGACCCATCCTATAGTTTGCACGTGCCTCACGCAGGTGAGGTGAGTTGAGGTGAGGTGAGGTGAGGTGAGGTGAGGTGAGGTGAGGTGTAATTGGGTTCAACGTCGCGTCCAAGATTATTGCACTTATATAGCGACGTGCATGTACGTGTGTGTGTTTGTGTGGCTGTTTGTACTAGTCCGGACTGATGCCGATTTTATAGTGCTAGCCCACTTAGATACCATGCCACAGTTTAACATGAATGCCCCGCTCAGACACAGTATACTGACTCCGAGCCGACCAGTCCTTGTTTTAGCCCCTTAATGCCGAGCGCCAGACAGGGTAACAAGAAGTACCATCTTTTAACGTCTTTTTGTATGACGCGGCCGGGGATCGAACCCCGGACCTTCCGCTCTCCGGGCGGACGCTCTACCACTAGACCACGGAGGCGGTCGGCCTCGCGTAGAAGCGACACAGACATGATTTTGACACTTTCAAGGAAGGTCGATTAATTTCTGTCAATCTTTTTGTCTGCTTGATCCTACAGTTGTGATTAACTTGATTTCATTCATTGATTGTGTATGAACTAACGATGAGGCGTCTGCAACGCGCGGGGGTCTACTGGCTATTGGCAAGCTGGAAACTGCAGAAGTCAGCGTGCAGTGATCAGCAGACTTTGAAACAGGTACCAACAAACCACAATATTGACGATCGACCCCCTTTAGGGCGTCCCAGGTCAACGACAAGAGGACAGGATCGATTGATCCGAAACCAGGCTCCACGAAATCGACCTTAAACGGCGAATCGAATTGCTTCAAACTTACATCAGGCAACTGGACTACGAGTTTCGGGTCACTTGATTAGAAATCGTCAACGTGCAGCTCAAGCCACGTATTGTGCTTCCCCCTACAAATCGTCATATTGCCAACAGACGTCAATGGTATAACTTGCGTCGATACCGAGGTTATCGTCCCTGGTCATGTGTCATGTTTTCAGATGGTCGTGACTGGAGACGTCAAAATGAACGTCAATGTGACCTCATGATGAATTTGGCGGTGGATCGGTTGTTTGTTTGATTGTTGTTTAACGCCGCACTCAGCAATATTCCAGCTATATGACGGCAGTCTGTAAATAATCGAGTCTGGCCCAGACAATCCAGTGATTGACATCATGAGCATCGATCCACACAATTGGGTTCGATGACATGCACCAACCAGAGCAGCGAGCCTGACCACCCGATCCCTTTAGTCGCCCCTTACGACAAGCATAGGCGCCTTTTATGGCAAGCATGGGTTGCTGAAGACCTATTCTACCCCGAATCTTCACGGTTCGGATCGGTTGTGGTGTGGGGTGGCATTACTATGACTAATCGAAGCCCACTCCACACTGTGCAAGCAAGGGTCACGGGACAGTACTATCGGGACAACCTACTGACACCCTTTGATGTGCAAGGCGTTTGCAAGGTGTGTGGGTCGACGTTTTGTCTTTCAGGACGACAACGCCCGTGCTCACTGCGCACGAATAGTCAATTCTCACCTCCAGCAGCACAGCATCCATAGAATGTCATGGCCAACAATGAGCCCAGACCTTTCCCCTATTGAACACGTCTGGGACATGACAGAGAGACATGTTGGTCAAGGTCACAGCCCGTCAATCACGTTGGCTGAACTTGGCCAGGCACTGCAAGAAGGGTGGGACAGACTCCCTTAAATCGCCATTGGGAGACTTATCGTGGTGGTATTACGCACTATTGTTCCAAAAATACATTCGACATTTTCCATTTTACCCCTATCGTCCTTCGACATCACTGGCGGTCATAACATCTACTGTCATACTTCATAATTTGTTCATTATTATCATACAACTATTACTGGAAACTAAATATTTACAATTTTGGAAATTTTAAGTATCCCCTACTTGTTTTGAAGAGTATATGTACTCATCGATCAGCTTGTTGACATTTCAAAGTGGACCGGTTACTCGACATTTTACCCTCTTGTATGTCTGGGCATAACAGTGCTCTTACTTCTTTCAACCAGGAAGTCATAAGCCACGTTCACAGTCCATTCGCTGTTGTTAATAGCTATTATGCGCCGCACCCCATACAATCTACCCGTATGTGGTTTTACCTGGGTGTCGGATAATTAGTGTCATGTGACTAATGTGAAATCGCTGTCTCACGTTATCTTTTGTTTACCTCCTATAAAGTCCTTCTCACTCACATTACTGAGTTAGGTATCATATCACAGCATGTGAATGTGTCGACAACGTACAGACATAATAAGTCACGTGCTCTAGGACGAGCTACTGTGGTGTCTCAGTGACACGTTTCGAAACACGCCGTGTCATAGCAACGCGGTTTTCATTGAACAACGTTTTGTTCACAGAAAATGGTCAGCGAAGCAACCAACTATACATATATGTAATAATGGCAACTGATTTTCGCGTATGACTTCCTGGTTGAATGACATACATATACATGTAGATGATGCCAGCAATGGATGAATATATGACAAGATACACAACGTGCATTGCTTTGAAGCTTGACATATTCAGGGTATACTTTAACCGGTAATGTTTTACTTTGCTGTTGTGTTGTACATACCCCGGTATTTACCCCCTCCCAAACAAACAAACAAACAAACAAACAAACAAACAAACAAACAAACAAACAAACAAATAAATAAATAAATAAATAAATAAATAAATAAATAAATAAATAAATAAATAAATATTAAAAGAAATATAAGAAATACCGAAACACAATAATATAATAATATACGTGTTCATAACTTTCATCTCTATGTAAGGATTATCTCGTGTTTGGCAACGAGCCATAGTATAAGT